ACAGTGAGACAAACTTCATTTCCACCCTGTGATGGCTTCAGTGAGCGCACTGAAATCCTTAAGCACTCTGCTGGACCAAATCATCAGGAACTAATTCAATACCCTCTTACTGTTCCATAAACTCTGACAAAGGAGAAGAAAAGGCATAATTCTATCCCCTTCCTCAAAACATAGCAGCCTTCTTTCATGCTATCTACCTGAGTCTTTGCAGAAAGCAAGATTTCTACCACACAGTTTGAGCTTCTTACAGGGCTGCCATTATCTTGCCATCTGCACTGCCTCACCTCATGGGTGAATGTTGCTTTTTAATCCAAATTAGTATGTTGCACTGTTTATAAATATGTACTTATGGCTGTGAGGCGGGTATGCCCCCAGAGAGGGCACATGTCATTGTAAAGCCCAAATACATGGTTTATTGTTTTTTTTGTGTGTATTTTTAGCTTTGGGGCAGGTAGACCTGCAGAGCAAATAATACAGAAAAAATACCTGCATTACAGAGCTGCTTCCGTGCTTTAAATTTATACTACTCTTCTTCCAGATTTGAACGTAGTGAGACAAGTGCATTGGCAAAATAATTATTTATCAGTCTTAAAAGCTTCCTTCAAAATCTCTGTCATTCAAATACTGGCTGGGGAAAATGAAAAGCACAGACAAGCATATTTGATGTACTCGCCAGTCTAGCTTTTATGCTGATGAGAACTTACTAAACACCAGTAAAGGGAATAGCAGTTATCAGCCCTAATTCAAAACTGTGAAATTTTTAGGCCAAGCAGATGCCCTTGCAGAATCCCAGCCAAGAGCTGTGACAGGCCAGACCTCCCACTGCAGGCACCAGATATTTCCTTTGGCTTCAGATGCTATGTGCAAGCACTCAGTTCTCAGAGACATGGTCCTAAGGTGTGTCCCACAGTGAGTGTGCCTGGGTCTTCCGACATCACCCAAAGAAAAGATCAGTAGGCACTGTACTTTGCCCCGGGCTAAGAAAACTCAAGCCTGGGTGTAAATATTTGCAAACTGAGGTTTATTTGTCCTATTGGTGTGCTCAAAGTGAACACTGAAAGTGCCAAAGTGCCTAATCCTACCATAGCAATGCCCTTCTCAGCCTCCTAAAGCTGAGATTATCAACTTATTGGTTGTCACAGAGTTCCTGAGGAAGTAATTCACTTGATTTTACAGTATAATCTCAGCACGTGAGTTTATAGTATAGTTTTGTTACCGGAATGCAAAATACACACAGCCTGCTCTCTGTCTCAACCTTTTTAAATTACTCACAGACCTGAAAGTCCTCGAAAAGGCAAGCTTCAAACAACACAATTGCTCTAAAAAAAGCTGAATCTCCACTTATAGTAGGCTTCAAGGACTCTGCTCATTAGCAGCTTTTCTGAACAGAGGCAGGAAAATTTCCATGTTGAGAGTTCAATTCAGACGAACGCAATGAAGACTGCAGACCACCAAACTGTTGACACTGCTTTCCAGCACATAAAATTAACAATTTGTGCTGCTACGTGCAACTTTCAGTCAAAGTTTGTCTGATTTATAAGCAAGCAGATGGTTCACACGATAGTCCACAATAAATTACAACAGTTAGAAAGACAGCTACATTTTGAGATTGACAGTGCAGCTGAGCTACAGATGGGTTTATAGATGACCTGTCCAATTTTTCATAATCTCCATAATTTATGTGCTAGTAAAGAAATGTGAGGATTCCTAATGCACCTTCTTGACTAAGTACAAATCACTTTTATTTACACAGGCAATACTTCATGGTCCAGTTAACTTCCTAATTAAAGACAGCAAGATGCTCATGTTCCATGCAAGTGGCATGGAAAACACCGTTTAGTTTGCAATATGTTCAGCTGGGAGTTTAAGATGCTGTGATCGCTCCAGGAGAAATGAATGCATCTATCTCATTTCTCTAAAACAAGACTACAAGGGTGCAAACACAGCTACCACCAGTTGCTACTCATTACTCTCCAGAAAAAACTGAGGCTTATGCAATAACAAGGTTACGTTTATTTGCAGGCTCTCACAGTTATGAATGGGTCCTAATCCAGGAGGAATTACAAACCAAGTGTTACTGAGCCAGGGCACGGGAAACAACAGGAGCAGAGACTCTTCCTACATTAAGAGAGAAGTATTTGGGGTCATTCTCGAATAGCTAAGGGAAAAGGTGAGTGAGCCTGAAAGGTTACTGCTGAGACAGGAGGTGGTGGTGCTGCAGCAGGAAATGCTGGAAGCAGCTTTTAGAAGTCAGTTCAGGTCTGTGGTTTTATTGGCCATATCTCTCACATGGGACTGAATGACTTCCACACAATCCTTCTGCTAATATCTTTCAAGGGTAGGCCAAAAGAATACCTCTCTTAGTACCATAAATTGCATGCCACAGTACCAGAAATTCATTCTTCCTGGCTGTAATTTCATTTGCAATGTGTTGTCTTCCAAAAAAGAGTGCAGCTAAAGGCAACCACGTATCCCAGAAGGTGATCAAGGGGGACAGTACCTGCTGCACAAATCACAGAAAGCAGAGGTTCCCAGATAGCCACAGTCCTTTGGGATGACACTTCAGGGTTTTTCTTCCTGCCTAAACCCCCTGTCTAAAACCTCTTTCCTTCCTGCCTTAACCTGCCTAAACTTCCTGTCTTCCCTTCCTGCTAAATTAGTTTGAAAAAGAAATCCATTTGAAATGGAAATCCAAAACTATCTATACGCTGGAATGCACAGCTCCTAGGAAAGCATCCCTGGGACTTAGAAATGCAGGAGAGGCACCAGTGACAAATTCAGGTTCTTATTAACTGTCAGTCACAAAGCATGACTCCTCCCTGCATCTCCATGCAGCGCCATGGTGCTCATGGGGCCCCTCCATCTACTGCACAGAACAATACCAAAGCTGGTATTTTTTATTCTGATAATTATTCAAAATAAGCAGTGTCCGAAAGGCTTTCGAGCTTTAAATAAAATCATAATCTATTACTGTGCATAACTCTTTGGCTGTTAAAGCAGGCAGAACACACTGCATGCCAGCTTATTTCTTGGATATTCTTTACTGTGATTTGTCATATTGCTTCTCTTCCACTGTGCATGTTTAAAGCCACATTATGCATTTCCAAAAACCCAGGGAATACTGCTATGGAATTACTATGGATATTCATCTGTATCAATGCTGAGTTTGGCACTTATTTTAGCAATACTCATCAAGCTGAGGAACTGCTTTAATGCTTCCTTCCAACAGAATAATGGCTCATACTAACATGCTTTAAACAAATATTGCTTCAGGTAATCAATAATGTTTATAAATAACCTGTAAGTGTCATTCCTTGAATGCAGCCCTTTGATTTGCTTGCAAGAGGCCAAGTTCTCTCACAGCACAAGAAAGCCTAAGTTGATTGAAATCAACAGGATTGTTCCTGTGATTCCCAGTTCATTAATAATTCCAGCATCACTATGAGCAACCTGATATTCAGCACAGGCTTCTCCAGTTTAACTCCACTAAGAAGTCAGAAACTATACATGTGGTTTATGCAACTAAATAGTTAACACAGCCTTCAGGATTCATTGACTGAAGTGAGCAGAGAGGCTCTGACTTGCTTGGCTGTAGATCAGCTCTTCCTGGCTTTCCTGCACAACTGCAAAAAGAAGGCTAATCCTGGAGGATGGATATAGCAAGGAGCACACACAGAGGTCTTACCGTATGTTTTCTATTTCTTGCATTCATTAAGCTGTCAGTGGTGAGGAAACTCGTTTCATTATCTCAAGAAGGAGACACAGACTGTCCCCCCACCTTATTAAAATGTAAATCAGTATAATGGTACATTTAAACAGTAAACTCCCCGTAGCAAGAAAGGGTTCTTAGTTCTCTCAGTAATCAAGTACTATTTTCAGCAATCTAACTGAAGGAAAAGAAATGTATGTAGTAATTCTTCAGTCTATTTATCAGACTAAGTGCTGCACGTTTTCCACACACTTTACATTACGAAATGTATGACACATAAGGTTTTATGGGTCTCTTTTAATTCAGGAATGAAAACATTTATAGATATGAACATTTTCTCATTAACTTTTCTTCCTAAATGATTACGCTTGTTGAAATCAATTCCTAGCCATCTTACAGAGGTTACAACCTTCAATAATTAAATTGGATATTGTATTGGATGTTACGTTGATTATGCTACAAATTCCAATTTCTACAAGACCACTGAAATGCTGAGATAAAAGGCTGTTAACTTTATTTAATTAGCTATCTGCCATTGTTATCAGAATGGAAGGTTGGTATCTGACTCAACACTTCAGATGAGGAAACAAGCTAGATGACATCTTCTTAGAAGGATTCTGGAATGGATATGTAATCTTTTTGGTTATTTTACAGCTGCTCAGGACAAACAGGATTGCATTAAAAACAAGAAAAGGCATTGACAGTCAGTGAAATGCTACCATGAAAATGCTATTTCAATCACACTTGGATTCTTCCTCATTTTCAGTTGTTAACATCCTTGCCACTTTTGTCAAGCAGTCTCACGGAGCAGTGCTGAATTTTAAGCACATATAATTTTGAAGCACAACATGAAATACGACTGAGCACATAGTACGGGTTTACTGCACCAGCTAACAGATCAGGCCCTTCTGCTAAGGCATCAGCTCATTCCTCTCTGCAGAGAAGGTTCAACTAGTTAAATGTGAGCTGGAATTCACAACTGCCTGCTATCCCTATACCTCAGGTCTTTCAGTTGAGGGCTGCTTATGATTTATCCTGAAGGGAGACACAAAGGCCATGCAAAATCTCAGAGGTCCTCAGAGAATTTTAACTGTGTCTTACATCAACTAAATCCACCCAGAGGATGCTGTATCTTGACAGAGTACCCGAGAGACACCCCGTCTCTCTCCCCAAATTATGTTTGTATAGAATGGCCAAAGTAATTTATCCAGTAATGATACCACTCTGCCACTTCAAGGTTTCTTACAGCTCAGACTGCAGAAACGTGATTATTCCTTTCCCAACAACTTACTGGTCTTGACCGGATTTCTTTGGCGTAGAGAGGTTTCAAGAATTCTGAATCTCCTTCCAGCTTCAGACCCTTATCTGTGATTCTCAGGTTCCCCATTCCATCCTAGAACACATACAAAACAAAACATCCTCATTAGTTACAATTACTAAATCCATCACGCTGCCAATAACTGATTTCTGTTTCCTACTGAGGAGAACATGCAAAACACTGGGAGGCACTAGAGAATGCAGTTACTCGTGTTATCCTTTTAGCCCCGTTTCTGTGAAAAAAAATCCATTCAGAGCAATTTGCAATGCCCCCCAGTAAACCATTTACACAGATGAAAGATGCTCTTTTAAGCCAGTCATCTCCACTCAGAGACGCAGCGATGCTCTGCCTTAACAGGAAACTATTCACTGCAATATCCACTGTGTGTCTGTAAATTAACCTACCTTCTCATTCATGACAAATCCACATAAAGAACACGTGATTAATTTTACTGAACTCCATATAGATCTGTGATTATTTTCACTGAAGTGACAAAGTAGGTTTTGGCTGTGTAGGAGTATTGCAATAAATGGAGTATAGAACATGCACCCCCATATTTGGGGAAATCTCTGCAAAGAACAGACTCTTTGGTGTGTTTTCCTTAGGGCTCATGACAAAAGGATGCGTTGATTACCACATCTTTCTTGTGCTTTCAACAATGTAAAAACAATACACAGCTCTATCAAAACATACATTTCTGCAAATATGTGCTCTTGGAGAAGCAACTATATATACAAGAGGAATACCTTCCCAATGGACTGCTTTTCTGCCATGGGCTAAATCCTGACTTTTCTTTCCAAGATGACCAGCTTGGGGTTGGAGCCTTCCCAGTGCTCCTTGCACAGCCTGAGCATATCCCAGAAGTCTGAACCTCCATATCCAAATATCTGAGTCTTCTCCTAGTCTGAGTCGGTCTCCTGCACTCAAGTAACTATTGCAAAGTTCCAGAGGTCAGGTCTGAAGTGACTGATGTAACATGCATCTCTCTCTACTTATCTGGATTTCGCATTTGGGTTACCAGCCCTCTCCCCACTGCTCCCTGTACTGTGATGGGAATCTTCTTGATAAGTGGGGCAAAGAGCTGGCTGCAGGTCTCCAGCAGATAACTACAAATAGTCCATTTTCATTCGAAATTGTTTAGTTATGTGTGTCCAAGATGTAATAAAGCATATGACAAACCATAATAGCAAAAAAAAATACGTCAAAATTTTGTATGAGTTTTTCATACAGTTTTTATTCAATAAGACAGGTATATTGGCTCGCGAGTAGAATGGGGCCCAACTAAAAATATTTCTCCTTTAGCTTGTGAGAGAAAGACACAACTTTTAATAAGATGTGGGATTTACATTCATTTAGGCTCCAGTTGTATAGAAAGTTGTGTGTTTAAGAAATGATGTTTGGGGGAACTGCAAAAGATAGATGTATAACCAAAAGCACTTCAAATGCAAAGAAAGGTAAGGGGAGGGGAGAGAGGAGTGACAGGGAGAGTGAGAAGGGAGAGGGAGAAGAAGAGGAAGAAGGTGAGGGAGAGGGAGAGGGAGAGGGGGAGGGAGAGGGATAAGGAAAGGGAAAGGGAGAGGAAGAAGGCGAGGGTGAGGGAGAGGAATTCAATTGGGGCCTGCAAAGATCAAGTCCAACTGCCTGACCACTTCAGAACTAAGCAAAAGTTAAATCACATTATTAAGGACATTATCCAAATGTCTTGAACACTGATAAGCACGGAACATCCACCACTCAAAGACACAGCATGGCTCAGCAGGGATGCTGGTCACTCACCAGGGATTCCCCTGTTCCCACAAGTGTCAGTCCAGAGGGTGTTCCCTGCCAAGCAATGATCACTTTCCTCATAACATGACTCATGAACAACGGGTTCAGGAGTGCTGGCTGATGGACTGACTGCTGTCACATCATTTTGAAATGAAAGGTGTAAGCAAACTTTAAATGGAGACATACGCTGAAAATGCTATTGACTGCTGAAGGAGGGGGAATGAGAGATGGACTGTAAAGTGCCAGTTGCTACATTTCCTGCCCCAGCTGTAAAATACTGGCTTATGGATTCTGGGTTGGTGAAGGCACAGAAGGGGGTTCATTTATCTCAAGCAAAAGTATGAAGAAAATGAGTGAAATATGATTATGTGCCAAAGAGCCAAGATTAAATTTTGATAGTGGTATGCTTTGCGATTTGAGCGAGCAGGAATTATTACTGCTATCTACAGACCCTCACGTGTTTTGCTCTGCTAAAAAAAATCTAAAAAGTCTTTCCCCAAATAGACATTTCAGTGAGATTACAAGCCCTGAAGGCTTTCATGCTGCAGGATGTTCTCCAGTGTCACATGGGTAGGTGTCACATCTAGCTGCAGGAATGACCACCTCCACAGCTACCAATCCTGACTATTCCCAGGGCTCGCTGCTGAGCTGATGTAAAGCAATACTCCAAGTAACTTGGACTGATGGCACTTGTCAAATCACCACTGAAGCTGTGGTAAACCATCAAGTTCAGAGGATCACAACTGTATCCTTAGTTATAGCACAAATCAAATATTCCACTTTCCTCTTGAGTGTTTCTCTTCCTTTCTCCCCTTCACCTCCTGTTTCCAAGTATTCCCTAGTGGGATTACTTATATTTACAAAACACACATATGGGCCATATAACTCACAGTTACCTGGTCTTATACATCCAATAAGACACATCAGGTCTATGAGACAATGTTCAACAAGCAGAACTTCAAGAACACATTTGATTCATATTGTACAGGCAGGCACATGCTCTCAAAAATACAAAACCATGGGGTCAGAGTAAAGAAAGCACTTCCCCATGTTATTCTTCTCAGCCTCTGACACTGTCATTCTGACCCCACTCACCAGACGTTACCTCCTTCCCTCCATGGTGTTTGGGGTCAGGACACAAAGCTCAGTAATGACACTGACCATCACAACCCCCCCTATTGTTCATGCCTCTTCTGATTGAAAATGACAGCTTTTTGTAGTGACATTCTGGGTCAGCAGTCAAAAAAAAAAACCACACAAAGGTTATAAACAGATTCTGAAGTGAGCAGATATTCCTAATTTCTAGCAATATAATCATTATTAAATCGTATTCCCTTATTACCTCCTGTTAGAAAATATTCTGCAGCTTGATACAAAGGCAGCAAAATACAGATATATTTGAAAGAAATCACTGCGTGAAAGAACACCCTGCATGTGTTGTTTTGGGTAAAGCATCTTCCTCCTCCCTATAGTATATGGCTTAATAGAAACTAAATGTCACACTCTGCTACAGTGAATATATATATAGCACCAGTGCTATGAAATTTCATGGACCTTGACCTATAAAACAGAGCAGGAAACTGGCCGGAGTGACAGAGACCATGATTTTTTTTATTAAACACTGTGTCATGATTGCTATATATCCTTATCTGCCACTATGTTGCTTGTGAATAAGAAAAAAACACGCAGCATTGATTATTGGGTATGCTGATGTCTGACAATCTCTGTTTCCTCCCTCTTTATTAGCAGACTCCTCAACAGAGAATGAATGACTTCAGTGTGCAGGCACAAACCAGCTTTGTGGGAGCTCCCAGGCTAACTGCTGGAAAACAGCAGAAACAGAGTCAGGAACTTTCCATTACCTCCTGCTTTGAATTATTCAGTTTTTTGGTAGAGCAGGGAGATAACTTCCACATTACTTTTATTGCCTCAGCCACCTCTCTTTTTATACAATGCCTTCTAATGGGCAGGCATAAAAATTTATATGCTATCACCAACTGCTCCGTGTTAAAATGGGACAGCAATGGTAAAATCCCAAATAACATAAATGTCATTTTGGTATTGCTGAATGACAGAGGACTTTCTTTTTTATTAGCTTGAGAGGCAGCACAGTTTAACAACCAATTACAATGGATAGTGCTGGTGTCAGGGGAAGAGCCCAGCACTGCTGCTACCTGAAGGCTGAGGCTCCTTTACCTCGAGGTCAGCCCTGGGGCTATATGCACAGGCAAAGCCTGGCTTTTTTGTTTGGTTTTCCTTTGTATCAGCTGTGGGTTACTTTCTACTTTGTTTTTAACTAACTGTCGGTAGCAGGGAAGTTCAGTGGGCAGAGTAAGAAAAAGCAGCCAACCTGACCAGAGATGTAATTACTGCAGTGAATACCTGCAAGCTGCACCAATCTGGGCTGCTGTGGGGGATTTCCAGAAGTGTCTGCCACCTATGGTAGCTCTGTTACGTAAGGCTGGGCTCATGCCACAGCTAACCTAGAGCATGGGCTGGCTGCAGCCTTTGTGCCATGATGCTCTGTTCTTTACAAACCATACATTCAGCCTCACTGCTCTGCACTTCCTCAGGTATTTCTGAATATAGAAGGGAAATGTGCTGTTTACTGTTCTATTGCTCTTTTCCTAAGGATTTTCTAGGGACACCAGTGATGGCAAACACTATGAGCTCCAGCTGCTTGCTGGCCACCACCAGCCCAGTGCGTGTCAGTGCTGAGGGCTGCTAGGTGAAAAAGCAGTTATCCTCATGCTTTTTCCTGCACCTCTATCCTGTACCAGTTTTCTGCAGCAAGGTTTGTCTCTGCATGGCAGGTAAGGATTTGCTTCTTTTAGTGGGAATAAACTGAAGTTATGTATGGTAACATCCTGGGGAAAAGAATTATCTTTGGAGACTGCTCATGTCAGATGGCTGCAACACCTGATTATTGTTGCTTGTATTATTGATTGCTGCACTCTGCATCGCTTCCAGATATGTGCAAGTTATTACACAGCTCAATACATTCAAAGTTAGGGAGGAAAAAAAACAGCAAATGCAGGTGACCTGTTTTACCTTACCTTCCTCAGAAGATTTCTGTGCTCTCCTACCTTTATATTAACATTATTTTTTCCAGTTTTCCCAGACTTAAGGAAGGTCTGCAGAGATGCACTTTGCTGTCAGCTCTTCACAACCTCAAACACCTACTGACTCGAACAGCATCTGCTCTCACTCCTCATTTTCTTCACTTGATTAGTCATTTTTGGAAAGACACCACTCTCTAGCTGAGCATCAGCACAGTCATTTTCCCAGAGAAGCCAAGAATGCCTAAA